CTGGTATTTCTGGATTTTGTTGATGCAAGTAAGTTAATGCTTTTCGTATGAAAAGCTGGCCAGGCCAGTCGGCAACGACTGGCATTACATAATTATTTGCATGTTTGATATCTCTATTTATTGAGAGAATAATATCTAATACATTTATATAATTATCTAGCGATTTAAGGTTACTTTCTTTAATACCAACTAATCTTACATCTTCCATACTCCTTTCTTCTTTTTTGTCTTTAATAGCTTTATCGTAACTATGAATGGTTAGAAGGTCGATTTGGTCAAAGCTGGTTACAATTTTTTGTAAAGCAGTCTATTGACTCTTTCTCTATGTATATAAGAGATCGAAAATTCCGTGGTATTTCGTAATTAAATATAGACAAATCAAGGGTACATTTATATTGGTAGGATTATGAACTGAGCTACCATTATAATTTATTGAGATTGGCGCGCACTTAGAAATTTTCTTGCTAACACATATTGCAAAATGAATCAGAGCAGAGAGCAAAGTAGTATCTGGGCATCTTATTGAGTGTATATTATGGTAATCATCAATATTATATACAAAAAAGCTGTTATTCTAATGTTAAATATATTAAAAATATTAATATTTCAGGGAATTATTATTCAAACTACAATGAAATAAACGTCGCAGTAAAAATTACTTTTTTAGCAAAATAATCTCGAATTTTTTTTGGATACTCTTTGGTTATTTTTTTTTTATAGTTGTCAACAGTTTTATAACAAACTGAAATTCTAGCATTGTGCATTGTATTAATTGCATCACATGATGCACCCGATACCGCGAGAAATAATCAGACTTCCAAAGTATAATTATTTACGAACTTATTGTGTATGTCTGCTATTGAATAACATATATTAATTACTTTTTTTTTATTCTCTTTTTTATTATATGCGGACTGTCTTTCTGGAATGAATGCATTATATAATTCATCTAAAATTCTCTTAATAATGGCTCTGTGTTTTCGAGCATTGCTTGGAAATTATCTGAATCTAATTCAAGTAATTGGCCTTCTCTTCTTTGTTTTTCATATAGTACTTTTGTCATCAGTGCAATTTTTTCACCAAAAGATAATAGTTTTCTAATAACTGTATTATCTTGTGTGTTAGCAGTAATTAGTGCATTAGTATCATTTCGGTTATGCTCTGTGACATGTATATTACTAGTTGATAACTTGTTTTTATCATTATGATTAGGCTCAACAATACTTAGGTAATGAGGATTATACAATTGCATTCCAACTTTAAGTAATTATATTGATTAAAAGTATCTTTTGCTTTTATTTTTGTTAGTGTATAATCTGTGATTCCGCGATATTGATTTGAAGAGGTTTGGCAATCATGAATAGAACAAGGGCCAAAGTTTTTTTTAGAGGCATTATATTTATGTTAATGCTGTGACAGAGTGAATTTAACGTTTAAAACTAATTTGGTTAAGAATAATACGATTATGCATTAAGGCAACTCGCCAAGGGCGTGACAATCGTGATTTAGTGTATTAATTATGTTTATTTATTTCAGATTAAACAGAATTAAAGAAATTTTAATAGGATCGTTATGCAGGGCAAGAATTAAGTAATAGAATTTTATTTATTATTATTTATTTTTTATTTATTTAATTATTTTATTATTATTGTCCTAAAGGATCTTCTTTCTATTACCGGTATTAAGGAAAAATGACACTCTTTTATACACAAACTATCATAAAAGGCTTGGGGTAAATTACAATAACACCTTCGTTAATCCTGCCAATCTATTTCTTTCGTTCCTTTATCTTTCAGGTTCCCTTTATCCGTAATTCTTTCGTGAACCTTCTTCTCTTTGCTTATTGCTAGAATCTTTCAACAATTGCATCTAAGCCTCATAGATCATACACGTAACTTTTCTTTCTCAAAGAATTCAATCGGCGATCCTGTTTCGAAAATCAAGTGATTATACTGTAGTTCTAGTCAATCATCAGAAATATCACTTTTACCCCGTGACAATGTGATATAATAACTAATTGTATTTTTTATTTTTGAAAAATTTATTTTTAGATAAAGTGGATAATTTAATTATGTTGAAAAGAACTTAAAACGGTTTGACAGATAAAATCGGATCTTTTTATATTTTACAGATTATTAAGAGATACAAAAGACCTATTACTTTACATATTAGAAAGAATTTCTATTTTTCTTTCTAGAACAATATGATTGCTAACTATTTCTTTTTTTTTCTAGTATTAGATTCTTTCTATGCATATTTTTTCTTATGAATTTTCTTAGATTCGCTTTTGCTTATCCATTGATTTTTCTATTGACAATTTCAAGCCTTTGACGATCCTACGGTAATATTATCTTGGAAGTTATGATCTTCGATCACGACACCTTAAATTGTGAAATATACAATACAATCCTTATACTTTTTCTTGTAGCTGTATAGATTTAGTTTTTGATTTTTGAACCTTTTATTTTGAGCAAAGTAAAATCAATATCTGAAAAAATTTCGAAACTACATAATTGTAAGATGTATTCATATAACAAAATAAAATAAAACAAGATTATTTTATAAGATAAAAAATAGCGTTAAATATATTATTTATTATAAATATTTATTGCGCAATGATAGTTATTTTTTGATACATCGAGCTATGAATTCTCAATAAAAGCTTTATTATAAAGGATTCTATAATGGTAATATAAACTTTTCATAATAATGGTTACATATATTCAAATTATGCATGATTTTGCTAAAATATATTAATTACAAAGAATGAATATGCTACAAAAGATTAAATAAAAAAATAATAAAAGTAAATTGATATTTTCGTATAAATCCATGAATTTTAGTAAATAGTATTAGTCGATAGTTTGCTATTTTTTTTCTTTAAATATGAAATTATTTTAGCCAATCGGCAACAATATCAGATTTGTGTAACAGATTTTGTAGATCACAAATATTGGCCAATCAAAACAAACTTCCATCATGCTGCAAAAAAGTATGTAAAGTCTTATATTTAATACCAAAAATGTGTTGTGAAATTGGTTAAGGAACTAATTCATATGACTGCAACAGGTTAAATTTTCAACAAATTATACATTGATTGTTTAGGGTCATTGCCCTGAATGTCTAAAGGCTATAAACATGTAGTATTAGTAGTTGAAAAATTAAGCAGATATATAAAAGGAAAAGTACCAAGAAAAAAGAACACTGTGGCAATAGCCTAATTTATTTGGGATGAGATTATAATGAGAAATGGGTGTTTTGCCATGTTAGTTTTAAATAGAGGTATCAAATTTAAGAATAATATATTAGTCGAATTGGCTATAAGATTAAATGTTGATCAAAAATTTGTGGCAAGTTATTACCTGGAGGCTAATAAGCATGCTGAACTAAGTTCACAAGGATTATATGAAAAATTTGTGCTGAAAAACAAAACAAATAGTATGGGTATGTAAGGAGCACCATTTGAGCCATTAATATAACAATGAATAATTTGGAGTATTCACTATTTTGATTGGTCTACGGGTGGGATGCCATAACATCTATTCAACTGATGATAAAAAGTTATCAGGTATATGTTGCAAGAAAGGAATAGTCAACTAATAAGCTGTTGGAATATTGAACCAGGCAAATAAAAGAGATGATAGAAGACCTGAAAAGTGCACAATTTGAAAAGGATAAATTAAGACAAAGGTGAAAAGAAATACATGATAAAAAGGCAAGGGTAAAAGAAACTTACAATGTGGGAACTTGGTCATGATATACGATTTGACATTGGAAACTACACCCTGAAAATTAAATTATTGTGGATAGGGCCTTATAAAAGTTCATAGAGTTGAAAAATATGGCAAGTATATGTTGATGAGCTTGATGGAAGTGAATTGAAAGATCCAGTAATATGAAACAGGATAAAGAAATTATTTACCTGAGATGATGAATCTTTGATTCAAAATGAAGAAGTTCCAGATGAAAATGATATGGCCCTCGAGGATGAGAACCAATAGGGTCCAGCTCATGCCGCATAGTTTATGAACAGCCCTTGTACCTTGTAAAAGATATACAAACTGATATTGAAACAGTTAGTAAATTGAAAAGGGTGAACGAAAGTATCGATCGATAACTCATGTGATTATGCAGTCAATTGGAGTTGTGAAAGTTTATCGAAGTGTGGGGCGGTATAGGGTAGATCGAATACATAGGTACTGTGATCACCAAAGCATGGATATGATGATTAATTAGGGGTAATTAAAGGCTTATTAAATTAATAACAATGAAATAGTTAAAGTGTAATACAAGATATGTAATTGTTTGAATTGCATAAATAGCAAAATGTAAATAAAGAAATACTTCAGTCTTTTTGACTGAGAATAACTGAGTAATAACGAATAGGTTAAAGTAAATACATACGTATTGTTAAGTGTGAAGTGCGTCGTTAAAAGGCATGTGTGTCTCTAGTAGCCAAGCGAGACCATAAATTAAATAAAACTGTCTGGGTTAGATAGTAGTCACTACGGTGATTGCTTAACTCTTTGACACTTATCATAGTAACAATTGTCAGATTTCAGCATATAATAAAAAACAGTAATTTTCCCCGGATCAGTAATTAAGTTCATTTTTTAAAACACTAATAACAATTACTAAATATTATTGCCCAGATTAACAGCTTTTGAATATTAAACAAAGGACTTATCTTATATTCATCTTTTTTTACTTTAATTCCCTTTTTATAATAGTTTGCTAAAATTCATAGCGCGAAATATTAATTTTAGCTATTTAGAGTAATCTGTAAAAAAAAAATAGTCTGGATATATTGTGATTAGTTGCAATAAATTGAAGTGGTTTTATTAATTAAACAAACTATATAACAAATAAAATTTAACAACTTCTTTTACAAATTTTATTACTATAACATAATTATAAAAATACATTATTCTTAAAACTTTTTTTATTAGTACCTATTTTATGATATAAACTTCAAACACAATCTAATGTTCGAACCAGATTTAAATTTTTTGTTTTTTGGTCCTTCCAAGAATGACTTCATCATAAAAATTATTATCAATATTATATAATACTTCAATGACATCTAGAAATATTTTGCATTCTTCTAGATCAGAAATTAACAATGCTATCTTGACATCCAATGCATCTTGTACCTGAAAAAATCAAAAATATATAAGATTGGTGTTGACAATATTTATAACTACACAAATATAACATTATAATAATTCACACCTGTTTAGTCACTTCAAGATCTTCTAGCATAATTATATTATTGTCAGTACCAGTCGTGGTACTAATCATGGTATCCAATGACTCGCTAATACAAAATTTATTAGTGTTCTCTATATCATCATGTGGTGAGTCCTTTAACAATAATGGGATTTCCCAAATACTGTATAAGTGATTGTAAAGCGCGATTTAGTTCCGTAGTTTCTAAAAACAAATATTTAGTTAAGCAATAGGCAAAATATAAGATCTGGTTAATAAATGTCTTTGATAATATGACAGACGTTTGATTTCTTCGTATGAAAGAAAACTTACAGGTTTCAAATCATTGAATAGCAACAATTCCAAGATTGAAAATAAGCTCAAATATAATGTATATATATATATATAATTATATACTTGTAATTGTATGAATCTTTATTTATTATTTTTTTGTCTATTTCAAGGTTACTGTACATTGTACGAATTGTTTATTTCTCGCGCCTGTTCATTATACAGCGGAATAGATACTTTTGTTTTTTTTTTATTCTTTACTTTTTTCAGGCTGTGCAAGCCTTTCATTTAGCTTCGTGTGAACGTCGTACTGTGTAGATAATTTCAATTTTATACTTGATTTTTTTTTTTAATATATATATGAGTGCCGCCAAGGGAAAACTTGTCATCGGGCTTTCAATTATATTTTGTACCGGACAAAATTTAATTTCTTAGGGAATATGTCCGGTACAAAATATAAGGCTTTCCCTTGGCGGCACTCATATGAAGATCGTTAACTTCCCTTTTAATTTCAACACCGATGACAAGCTTCGTAGAACGAAGTCCTACGCTATCAATAGATCATTTAAAGATATATATGAAGATCGTCAATTTCTCTTTTAATTTTCAACACAGAACGAAATCTTAAGCTTTCGAATAAATCACGAAGAGTATGTAAATGAAGTGGAGTTGAAGAATCTCATGATTATATATATTTCTGTACGTTCTTTTTTTTTTTTTTTCGGACTGTGGGTACTCAAAGAAAAGTATGAGCCATATTTCCATGGAAATAGTAATTTTTTCGGGCAGCGAGTATTACGAAGAACGTACACTTCCCTTTTAATTTCAATACAGATGACAAACCTCAGAACGAAACCCTACGCTTTCGAATAAAATCACGAAGAATATGTAAAGGATGTGGAGATGAAGAATCGCAATTATATTTCTGTACGTTCTTTTTATATTTGTTTCCTTTTTTTTTTTTTCGGGCTGTGAGTACCTAAATATATGGACCATAGCCATTTCCATGTCTGAAACGCTGCTAGATGGAAATAGTAATTTTTTTCGGGCAGTGAATACCTAAATGTATGAAGAACGTTCACTTCCCTTTTTAACCTCAATACAGATGACAAACTTCATAGTACAAAATCTTACTTTGAATAGATCTCGAAGAGTATGTAAGGGAAGTGGAGTTGAAGAATCATGATTATATTTCTGTACTTTTTTTTTTTTTGCTTCCTTTTTTTTTTCGGGCTGAGTACCCATTGTGTGGCCATAGCTATTTCTGCATTCATACTTTGTGCGATGAAATAGTTTTATACTTATTTATTTATTTATTTATTTTTACTCTTTTATCAAATATATATTAAGGTTGTTAACTTTCTTTTTTTAATTTTCAACACAGATGAGAACCTTCATAGAACGAAAACCCGCTTTCAAATAGATCACGAAGGTATGTAAAGGACATGGAGTTGAAGAATCCATGATTATACTTCTGTACATTCCTTTTACATTTTTTTCGGACTGCTGTGTGGTGGAAATAATTTCAATTTATCGCTTTTTTTTATTTTTTATTTTTTTTTTTCGGACCAACATAGTAATAAAATTTTTTCCTAACTATTTTACTTGCTTTCATTATTGAACCATTAAAATCTCAAAGCTCATATATCAATGTAAAAAACCTTTAGATACCAAGGTTCATAAACTGATCTACTAATGGTCATAATTCAGTTTGTTCAATATCAGTATATTTTCGACTAGTAGAAATACAAAAATTTGGCTAAATAATCTGATCCCGCTAGTGAATTAATGATCGTATGATATAATTAAGAGAAAATATGTAATGAATAAACTCAAATTCTTTTGAACCACATCCAAGTTATGCAATACAAATATTGACTTAATAATATAATCAAGTCTACTGAACTATAATTATCCTTATTTTTTTAATTAAACCTGAATCACCAGCTAGTAAAATTCGCTTTTTTTATGTAAAATTTAAGAAAATTAGTTTGTTTATTAAATCATGTAAAATCTGATATAGATAGAATGAAATTCGCTATTAAGCTGTTCTAAATTTTGAGCGAAGGTATCTCAACAACTACCTGATCAAATTTGATAAAAATTTTTTATCTGAATTCTATGAATCCATAGAATTCAAATAAAAAAAATTTCAATAGGTGGCTGTCAAGATATCCTCGCTCAAAGTTTATTAACCATAGCTGCGAATCGGCAGATCCTCGATTTCGATTGGCTAACGGCCGAAATTTTGGCTCACATTACAAATTTGTTTACTAATTTCTGGCCGGAATTAACTTTTTAATTTTTTCACTACAAAAATAGAAAATTTTAAAAATAGGCTCATGTTATGGTAAAATTGGCCCAGGAACAAATTTCACTTAATGGGCGGCAGCGATTTCATTAGTAATAGTAAAATTATGAGTCCGGTCTAATCTTTTGATAGTCGCTCTTAGCCAATCAAAATCGATAATCTGCTATGGGTAAATATTAAACATCGAGCGAAAATATCTCGACAACCACCTGATCAATTCGATGAAAATTTGTTTATTTGAATTCTATGGATTCGTAGAATTCAAATAAAAAAAATCATCGAATTTGTCAGGTGGTTGTCAAGATATCTTCGCTCAAAATTCTAGAAAAAAAAATTAAAACGCGAAATTTTTTATTAAAACTTTGAGCGAAGATATCTCAATAACCACCTGATTAAATTTGATAAAAAATTTTTATTTGAATTCTATGAATCCATATAATCCAATTTATTGAATTTGATCAGGTGGTTGTTGAGATACCTTTGTTCAAAGTTTTAGAGAAAATTTGGTGCAACTTCGTGTCATAATTTTTTTTTTTTTCTAGATTATCTGTACATTCTACCCTTGTTATAACAGACCCCGTTAAACCAGATCCCTTATTATAATGGATAGGTTTGCCAGAACCAAATTTTAAATAATAAATTTCCCTCGACATAATGGATCTTTATAATATCTATATAATATCTATAACTTATAGCAGATGCGGATTAACTTTATTTAATATACCATTTGATTTTACTATACTGGATATGATATCTGATTGGCTATCAAGTTAACACGTGATTTTAAATCGTAAAATATTATCTGAAAAAAGTAGACAATAAATCTTATATACAGTAGACGTTCTAGTCTTTTTTAGCATACTAACAAATATAACATTATCAAATTTATCCACTGCACATAATAAATCTATCAGTACAGTAATACCTCTATAAGTGCATGCCCTTGGGACCAAGCTTTAACAACGTACACTTGGAGATCAATAAGAGAAAGTGCATTTATAGAGGGCATGTATATTTTTGGGCCAGAACTTGAGCATGCAATTAAAGAGGGTGTGCACTTATAGAGGGTGCACTTATGAAGGTTTTACTATAGGACTATAAATTCGTTCTTAACTTGTTCAAGACTAGTTTTTTGTATACAGTAAAACCTCCATAAGTGCACCCTCTATAAGTTCACACTCTCTTTAATTGCCCCCTATAAATGCACTTTTTCTTATTGATCTCTAAGTGCATATTGTTAAAGCTTGGTCCCAAGGGCGTGCAATCATAGAGGTTTTACTGTATAAGGCTAGGCAAGGCTTTTAACATTGCTATATTTTATAAATATAGTATATATTGTATAGTTTCTGATCTGGCCAAATGTTTGAGGTTAACTACGAGTACTAAAAGGGAGTTTTAAAAGATTATACTTTTTATATTTATAAACACCTATTACATATACATTTTTCTAACTTAACTATTATCATACCCATCATTATACATATCGGATTATACATAACTCTATTAGTAAAGACCGCTATTTATACTATATATAACGGATTATACAGTACCTTATATATATTAGTAAATCGTGATAATGGACTTTTATTATAATGGATGAAATTTCCCAGCCCGAAGGGACCGTCATAACGAGAGTAGAGTATATATTTTAATTATTTGTATAATAAACTTTTTAAAGCAAGATTAAAATTAAAATTAGAAGTTAAATTGTGTTAAATAAAGCTTTTTTAAGAAGCCAATGTTTTTGTTTTAAGTCACAAATATTAATTATTTAGCTAAATTTTAATATTAGTAGCTATATTTATAGTACTAATATTGCCGTCTTTGCATTACTTGCATACCATTGGCAAGCTTTTAAAAGTGTGACAAAGCAAGTTAAATCTTATCATCAGGAATTTTTTTAGCAGATTATCGATTACTAATCGATAGTCATTGATATGAGCGATAAAATATGAAAGTTCTCTAAACAATTATAAATGATGATTATTATTATTGATAACTATGATGATTATTGATTATAATCATTAACTATTAATAACTATCAATTGTTAGCTTATATTGATAGTGACAACCATCGTTTATAATCACCCATATCGATAACTTATAATCGATTATTTCAATAGTCATCTGCTAAAAAAAATTTCCTGATGCATATGACCTTTCCAACCATTCTAACTTAAGCCATTTCGGGTCCAATTTAAACCTCCGATTTGAAGTTTAATTTAAAATAGCTTTTGGGTTTAAATTAAAAGTATATTCCCGTATATTTCACGGATTTGCAATTACCTAATTTCATCAAAACTGATTGTAGTCGATTAAAATCTGATGATTTTAATTTATTATTATCACCCCGCCGATTACACGCGATAAAGATTTTTATTGATTATAATTACAGGAGCGACCGTCGATGTTACACGACTGACTTTTCACCCGGTGTGCAACATATAAAAAAACTATTTTACAATA